GTTTCTATTGACGTTTCACGTCTGCTGACGCAGCATCCGGCAGCTCCTCGTCGTGCAGATACGTAAAGGGTCAATGGTCGGAATGCGATGCGAATACCAACACGCGGTCGCGCACTCTGAACCTCAAGAAGGGCGACAAATCCTGCGAACAGACCAAGACTATACAGAAGAAGTGCAAGAAAGGTGAGTTTTTACGATTAATACCTCGCATCCTGCGCGGGAGGCGCGTTCGGGGATGTATGTGTACGTTTCTAATGGATCATCGCTTGTAGCATGTCGATATGAGAAGGGCACGTGGAGCGGATGCGCGAATCAAATGATGACGAGAATCGATAATCTGAAAGCGAACAGCGATACATCCTGCGAGAAGACGCGACGGCTCACCAAGAGGTGTAAACCGGAGACCAACACCAAGAAATCTGCCAAAGGTAAGGTCCCTCTCAATCGACGTCAATGCCCGTTAGGGCCGCGGGACGGCTCACGGAAGGCGAGGGAAATTTTAAGCGTAATGATCCCTCGTTTCTTTTTTGATTCCAGGTGAAAGGTCGAACAAGAAATCGAACAAGCAGTAATTATCCGCCGATATCTTCAATCGTTTCTTCTAATCGGGCAACGAAAGCGCACTCTCTCATCTCCACGATTCCCCCTACCTTCTTTCGATCCCTTATCCAATCGCCAATTGATTGCGAGGCAGGATTGCGTAAATTCGTATCGCGATCGCCGATCGAAGCGTTTCTCACACATACTGCCTAGGAGTCATTTGCATTTCGGACGCAGCGACACGTGCCACGTGACTGCAACCCGTTTTTCAAGGTGCGCGCGCTGCCGTCGGTTAATTACTGTTAATAATTCTTCTGGGATAGTGCACAACACGTTTCGGTGATCACATCTGTTCTCGGCAGTAACTCGGTTATTAACCCTTCCGAGATTTTCTTGTATCATTTCGCCGCGATACTTCATATCAGATACGCGTAAATATTATATAGCTTAAACGTTTCGACGATTTTTAGATCCCCGAGCAAACCCGAGATCAATTATATCTAATAACAGATCCGGGCTCGAATGGAAAATATCGTATTCGTTTTAAGCGTACGGCTGTCGGAGAGACTCTTCTATCTAACCCATTGACATAATTTGCAACGAGTAGAGAAGTTATTGATCGCATAAAGGTATTCTAAAAATGGACGTTGGCGAGATCTTGGAGGGTTAAGCCGCGCAATCAACCGGAGAATCGATTGGGAACCGATACGTAACATGTTCGAGATGACGAAAGCTAAACACGGCCAATCGTCAGTAGTGATGCAGCTTATGCAATTGAATCTTGACGAATTCGTGACATCCGAGCATCTCTCTCTTGACGCGGAACTTTTTCCATGACTTTCGTATTATCGGATACATCTGAAGATCTGCAAGGATTCAGGAGTTAGTTTTTTCCAGCGTGTTCTTGCAAAATCTGCACCACTGGTCGTTCGATTAACGAGCGTAGCACACATCGTAGAGCTCCCTGACTAGAAGCAGCCGCCATTTCGGAGGTTCGCAGAGGAGATAAGATCATCCGCCAAAGCTGTTCTCTCGTCTTCCCGCAGCGATATTACATTATTATTAATATTATTAATATTATTATTGTTTATCACAACAAGTAGCAGCGATTCCCCTTTGGCTTAGCTGCTGATCCACTTAAGATCATGTACAATATTTGTCATACTAAACAGCTTTCATTCGATTTGTCACATAAATATACAATGTTCGGTGTTCAAAGTAACTGTGTCCTGTGTCATGTAACATGCGCGAGATATTCCGACAATTATTACGCCGTCGCGAAGGTTCGTCTGTTTATAAACGAAGATGTATACTCGAGGGTGCCGTACCGATGGCATTTTCAAATCATGGCGAATCAAAAAGTGTGAAATCAAAATGAATCAAAATGATCAAAAAAAAAAAAAGGAACGCATCAAAAATGACATTTGTCGAGGGAATTAATTAAAAATGTGGAAGTATACTATATATAAATATATCTATATATTTAGTACACAGAATGTTCGCGCGAGCCTAATGAATTTTTCCGGAATCCTCCGCGCCTCTCTCGGCAGGACGTTGTCACTTCCGATGTTAATATTCGCAGTTAACGTTATAATAATAATGTATCAAGTGATAACTGGCAAATATGGAAACTCGCCAATGAGCATGAAAATCAAACTGAAATAACTCGTCGTCTCATCAAGCATGCACGCTCGCGCGTGC